CGGGAGGAAGCAGCGTCTACCTCCTGCGGCCGCTGGGGGAGCGGCCCAGCGCCAAGGGCGTCCATGGAGCCGCCTGACCCGGAGAGGCGCACAATGGCTCTGGCGCCACGTGTTTCCAGTTCCCTACGGCCAAGTCGGGGTTGGCCTTCCTGCCTCGGGGTGAAAAGACGAGCTTCTCCGGCCCGCCGATCGCTAATGGGACTTTGTTTTTCGTTCCTATGCAGGCTTTTCACGGCATTCAGCAGCAGCATTGCTGTAACCGACAAAGACACATTCGAATTAAACACATTCCTCGATTTCAGCAAAGCCCCACAACATGACCGAGATGAGCTTCTTGAGCAGCGAGGTGTTGGTGGGGGGCTTGATGTCCCCCTTCAACCAGTCGGGTTTGGGGGCTGAAGAAAGCTTAGATCTCTTAGACGACTACCTGGAGGTGGCCAAGAACTTGAAACCCCATGGGTTCTCCAGCGACAAGGCTAAGGCGGGCTCCTCCGAATGGCTGGCTGTGGATGGGTTGGTCAGTGCCTCAGACAACGGCAAGGGTGAGTGCCCGTCGTTGACTTGCCACTGAGTTCTGGTCGTAGTTGGTTGCTTTGTGCATCTGGCTGAATTGATTTCTTTTAAAATCTTTTGCAGAGGATGCCTTCTCGGGGACAGATTGGATGGTGGAGAAAATGGATCTCAAGGAGTTTGACTTCGATGCCCTGTTAAGTTTAGGTGACCTGGACACCATGCCTGATGAGCTTTTGGCCACGTTGGATGACCCCTGTGACCTCTTTGACCCCCTAGACCAGGAGATTAATAAGGAGCCCCCCCATACCGTGAACCCAATTGGCCATCTTCCAGAAAGTTTACTAAAAACTGACCAGGTTGCCCCCTTCACCTTCCTGCAACCTCTTCCCCTTTCCCCGGAGGCCCTGTCCTGCACTCCGGATCATTCCTTTAGTTTAGAGCTGGGAAGTGAAGTTGACATCTCTGAAGGAGAGAGAAAATCAGACTCCACTACTTATATTCCCATAACCCCTCAGTGCATAAAGGAGGAGGATGTCACCTCAGACAATGACAGTGGCATCTGTATGAGCCCGGAGTCCTATCTGGGCTCTCCCCAGAATAGTCCCTCCACCTCCAGGGCCTCCCCAAACAGGAATCTGCTGTCTTCAGCTACCCCCTGTGGGTCTGCTGGCCCCAAACCCTATGACCCTCCTGTAGAGAAGGTGGTAGCTGCAAAAGTAAAGGGTGAGAAACTAGATAAAAGGCTGAAAAAAATGGAGCAGAACAAGACAGCAGCTACTAGATACCGCCAGAAGAAGAGAGCAGAGCAGGAGGCCCTCACCGGTGAGTGTAAAGAGCTAGAAAAGAAAAACGAGGCTCTGAAAGAGAAGGCCGATTCCTTGGCCAAGGAGATCCAGTACCTGAAAGATCTGATAGAGGAAGTCCGCAAGGCCAGGGGAAAGAAAAGGGCCCCCTAGTTAGGGTAGTCGGTGTGCTTGTACATAGGAGGCTTGTGCTGGAGATGTGTATCATAATAAATTATTTTGTAGTGAAAGTACTGTGCAGACTGCTGTATGTTTTCTTTACTCAAATAGCCCAGCCAACTGTCTTAGGACTAGATTCTTAACCAGAAGGAGGTTTCAACATATTTTAAGGTTGAGCCCAGAGTGAGAAGTGCTATCGTCAGGATCACTGGTGACTCCATCGGACTCTGGGCCAGAACCCCAACAGCAGGTGGTTTTCCCAGAGCTGGGAATCCCTCGGTGGGCCATCCCTTGGTTAGGGGCGAGGCTCTAGGGAGTTTTAACTGGAGGGAACTGGTAGCAGGAACAGCCCAGGCTCCGCCTGTTCTCCCAGTCGGGCCTTTTGCCAACATCTGTCATTCAGCAGCCAGATAAGGTTCCAGTCCGTCCTTGAGCTGGGTGTGCTGAGGAATAGTTTCTACTTCTAAGCTCTGGTTCTGATGCCCTTGTAAGCAAAGGGAAGGACCTAGGCCTGTCGTTTGGGCAGCTTCACCAGGAAGCTACAACTTGACCCCCCCCCCCATCCATAGGTATATGGTCTATTCCCTCTAGGTCATGGGGTGGGGGGGATCAGATCCATGCCCAGTAAAGTTGGGGTGACATAAGGAAGGTACTTAATCACCTGGGAACGGGTCATTGGCCAGAATTGTGGCCACTCAAGCATGGGGAGATAGAGGATATTTAATCTGGGCTAAAGGATTCTTGCTGTTCTTTGGGGCTGTTCAGGAAGCGCTGTCCTGAATTCACACCCACATTCAAAGGGACTAATGGACTGCAACTAGCCTAAGCCTAGCAGATGAATCTAAGGATATCCGTGTGTAGCTCTCCCCCCACCAGGGTCATTAAGACTCCGCTGGAGGAAGCGGGTGGAGAATGAGGCAGGATACCAGCTGCCCTAAGGAAGGTGGGCCACTTCCTTTATGGAGTCCGCACCCTCCTGCAGCCTTGACCTGGATGGCCTGCTTCCTACTGCTCAGGAGGCATCTGCAGACAGGACCGGGTCCAGCTCTACGCCGGCCGTTCTGTGGCCCACGCTCAGGATGGAAAGCTGGTTAACAACCAGGAACAGAGCTCCAAGGCACATTAGAACCCATGCAGGGAGGTTGACTGTCACTCCAGCCTTGGGACCCTTCAGAAGCCTCAGACAATGCCATGACCTCTGAAGCCCTTTGGGGGAGGGGGAAGAAGTAGGAGAGCTGCCTGACGGTGCCCAGGGCCCTCCTCTCCAGAAGGCCCCCAACCCCAAGGGGCCCCTGGCTTCCAGGACTTGTCCTCTCCACACTGAAGACAATGCTGGTCAGCACATCCTGTGCCCAACACTGCCGGCTGCAAGGGGTCCAGCCCCTACCTTTGTGCTCAGGCACAGACCTGAGTGTGAAACCCTGTTGCTTGAAGTCACCTCCTGAATCACCCCACCAGTCCCCCAACACTTCTGACACACACACAAGCACAGGACTTGGGCGACAGGCTGGCAGCACTCCCTCTCCCCAGACCCAGGAGTCGCATCCCTGGATCAAAGCTTCTGGCAACTGTGGGCGCCACCCAGGGGAGGAGGGCCCCTCTGGGCTCTGCCAGCAGATGCTGGGTGAACTCTCTCTGGGTGGCAGCCTGCACTGGGGCTGGGCTGGAGGACTTCTGCTCTGGAGCTCTAAGAACCACACTGGGAGGTGGGGAAGGGAGGGAAGGCTCTTTGGTGCCACAGGAGATGAGACACCTCGAGTCAGACCAGCAGCACACACCCAGCTCGAGCCCATATTTATTAGAACCTGGAAGCATACCCAGCAGCCCTCCTCTTCCTCCTCGAGGTGTGGCCCCTGAGGGCCAGTAACTGGCCTCTACAGCAAACAGCCAAGAGGTCCTACTTGGGCCAAAGCAAACAATACAGTCAGAAATGTTCCTTTTTGGCAGGTAGGTAGCTCTTCCCAAGCCTGCGGGTTTCCCCTCCGTCCGAGTTTAAATGCTCCCGCAGGCGTCCAGCTCACCAGCTCCATGCCAGCCTGCCCCTGGCTTCTGCTCCAGGGCTTCCTTGGGTCAGCCTGGCCCCCTCTGTGCATGGCAGGGTGCCAGGCCCAGCAATGGCTGTGAGGTCAGAGGAGGAAGCTGGGCCCAAGCCTCTCCCACTGGGCCCTCCAGAAGCCTAGCTGCCGAAGTATTCCTGCTGGAACTTCTGGAAGTCCTCCTCCGTGAACACCGTGCCTTCAGCCTTCTTCTTCTTCTTCTTCTTGGCCACAGGCCGGTCACAGGCCTTGCGGCCCCGATTCTGGCGCAGAATCTGGGGATGTGCAGGAGTCAGGACATGAAGGAGCTGTACGACCTGGTACGCTCTCAGCCCTTCAGGGGGAGACGCCCCACCGCACAGCAATACAGGAACGTGGGGGGTGGCCCAAACTCCACCCTATGCTAGGGCTGAGACCCCCAGGGGTCCCCAGGAACATCCTCAGCTCTCTCCCCACAGCTTCCTTCTCATAGCCCCCGACACACCTGCTGGGTGACGGACGCCGGCACGGTGCTTCTGGCACCGGTCATGAACTTCAGGTTCTCTCCAAGGTAGCCTCGACGCTCTCGCTTCTGGAACTCAGCTGTGGATGGGTGGTAAGCAGGGCAGCATAATTTCAGATGCACTCCCTGGAAGCCTTCTAGGTCCCCTCTTGATATCTCCCCATTACCCCCCCCCGCC